ATAAATTTTATTGATGATAATAATTTATAATTATTACAATTAATTAATAATTATAATAATAACAATAATAACAACAATAATATATTAATTGTTAAATATTCCATCTCTTATAGGTATTTTGATTAAAAAATTTTAATAAATGAATAAATAAATAATAATAAACATTAAGAATAGCAAAAAATATCTTGATTAATCATTTTTCAAGTTCAAACGATATTGATATAATTGTAAAATAGGTCATAATGTAAATATATATATATATATATATATATATATATATTTTCATGTCTAAATTTATAGAGTGGGATACAACAGAGGTAAGATTGGTTTTAGGCAACAGAAGAGAAAGGGAAGGGAAAATTTTGTAAGATAAAAAGATCAAATTCTTAAAAAAAACAAAAGAAAACATTATTAGGGGGCTAATAGTCCCAAAATTTTAAATTTGAAGGGGTACAAGGTATTTTGGTGAACCCCAGGGGCCAATAGTGTCGGAAGTTTCAGGGAAGAGGATAAAGATCATTTTCACTTTTTTTTATTGGAACCGTTCTCTATCTACGCAATTATTATTTTTATGGGATGAGGTTTAGAAGTAACAAGCACCTATAAACCTTACTTAGAGAGGTTGTTTCGGAGAACCTTTTAATGGCTTTAAAATCTCTTTTTATGGTCAGTTATAAAAATCTAAAATTTTAAAAATAGTAGAGATCCAGCTGATCAAGAAACAATTGAAAATCTTGAAAATAGACAGTCCAAAAACTTGTTGCAAGAAGCATTATTTTTTTTACTTGAAATTCTCTTTTTTTTCTTCATGTCCATTCATTTCAATGTCGAGATGATCAGCTAGAAGGTCCTACAGTACCAAAACAGTCTCTGCAATAGGATTTTTGAGGTTCACCTTACTTCTACTTTGCAACGAACTTTTTCCATTTTTAAGGAGGGAGATGAAATGGATCTCTCCGGAATTAACCATCTCTCCCTTTCTATCTCTAAACATATCTCCCTCTCTCCAGACATCTCTCTCTTCCCTCCTAAACCCCTGTCACTCTAAAACAAAAATAATGACACTATCGTCTCTCTAGACAAAAGTATTGATGTAATCTCTCTTTCTCTGTCGTGAAACAGTAAAGTAATGGCAAAAACGCAATCATATCTCCCTCCGTCGTTGGAGCCATGACATTCACCCTCTCTCCTCAACTAGTTTTCGTATCTCTCTCAACGTTATGTTCGTGATCTTAGTTTTTTATGATGATTGGCGAGGATATTTTAAATGTTTAAAAGAAAAAGCGGGGAGAGAGAGAGAGGTAGCAAGATGCCTACCAAATTACTATTGGAATCGTATATAATAAGACTATTTTTTTTTGTATTTTTATAAGAAGTTCAAAACTATTTATAATCATTTTTGGGTTTGTCATAAAATTTAAAACATTTCTTTTGATCATCAAGCTGGGTCAATTGAATAATTCCAGCCACCCAATTTTTTCATTCAACGATAGAGATTAATTGTGATTACTTTATCTCGAACTTTCTAACACACTCAAACTATTAGATTTTACATTGTATTTAATGAGATATTTATCTTCGATATAAGGGGGCCACAATAAATATTGACCATTGAATGTGAAATTCGGTAATCACATTTATTTCCTTGACTAAACTCAAAATTAAAAAAATAAAATTTGAACCCCGTGAAACACCTAAATTATCATATTCCGCATGAGATGGTCTTATTTTATACTATTTACCAAAGTCATATACAGTACCTTATTTTAAGGACAAGTGGTTTTATTGTATACTTTTTGGTTACTAATACAGACTCCTGAGCAGATATGCATGCTATCCTAGAGAGAGAGAGAGAGAGAGAGCGAAGGGTAGCTCCAAACCCCTAAGGCTCAGAGGGATGTGCATGCTCCGTTGCATCTTGCATTCACCATTCTCTCTCTCTACCCTCGTTGACCCTGCATCTCTTGTGGCGGCCCCATCGGCGCAGGCCTTGCCCCTCTCTCTCTCTACTCACCCACCTATATATATATATATATATATATATATATACCTACCCT